ATATGGCTTACACTTCCATAATTCATATGTACACGTACACGATACATTGTAAGGTAATTAAATGCTTTCATGATTAATCAGCTTAAAGGTGAATACGGTTTAGCAGACAAAACACGGGTGCCCATGCACGTGAAGAACACACCCTCCAACCTGTTTTACTGATTTAAAAATTGTCATGCCTGAAAGACCTCTGAGTAGTCCCAAGGGCGCCACCTCAGACCCCAGTGGCGGAAAAGGTCAGGTCCTCAGCGGTGAGTGGAACCCCCAAATACAGCCTGCCTCCGTCACAGAGTCTCCTGAGAGCCACATGAGACGGAGCGGCGACACCACCGGGCACTCGGCCTAAGCAAACACCCCTCTAGAGAGTCGTGAGCTGGAGCCAGGGGACCCCAGGTGGCGGGTGTCCACACCGCACGGCAGGGACATTCCGCAGCTGCCTGCAGGCCCTCGAGGGTGGGATCCCAGGACGGCAGGCCATCGGCAACCCGCCGACGCAGCGAACCAGGCACGGCAAACAGCAAGTGCAGGGGCCCTGGGCGGGCGCAGGGTGTAGCTGGCAGAGGGAGCGCCCGGGGAGGGTGGTGGCCACGTCACCGCAGGACTGGAGGGCCCTGGCGGCGGTGCGGGTGGTGGAGAGCACACCACGCCAGCTCCGGGAAAGCAGAAGGACCCGCCCCACCCCCTTGGCTCTGGGGGCCCCTGACGGAAGGAGGGCGTGGACCGGGTGACCTGGCCAGGCTGGCAGCAGCTGAGGTTCCAGGAACAGCGAGCACTAAAGGGTCTGGGCGGGAAGCCCCCGAGCAGATGCTGACTCACGGTGGAGCTGACTAACAGCCCTCACCTCAGAGGGGACGGGGGACTGCACTGTCCCCTCCTCGTCCGGGCTGCTCACGGTCAGACCAGCCTCCCTGCAAGGACCTCCGCGGGCTAGCTGCTGCTTGTGGGGACAGCTCAGTGAAGGAAAAATCTGGATTCCGGTCCAAGTACTGCTAGCCAGGTGACCTCGAGCCAAACAGCGCCCTGACCTCATCTCTCAAGGTCATCCATCAGCAGGGAGGGCGCCGCGGGCAGCAGGCCCGCGGGCTCCGCGGTCAGGGCGGTTCGAGCCGCTTCCAGGCGCAGAGCACCAACCGACAGAGGCTTGCCCTCGTGCTCCCGATCACGTGACACAGAGAGCGCCCTGCAGAGCAGCAGTCACCCACAAACATCCACCCGGCACACGCCAAATCACGGCCGAGGCGCCTAAGCAGCAGGACGCGTGGATGAGGGCTCAGAGCTTTTTTCATTTCTGAGTCACCACAACGACAGTTGCATTTCCTAATGCAACTGTGGTTCCGCCTGTGGCCTGCAATCCTAATTCAAAGAACCTCATGGATTAAAAACTACACGGGTAATTACGAATTGCGGCCTGCCTGACTCACTCAGCTCAACAAATGCTCTAATGGGCATGAAGGCATAAACAGGACACTCAGAACTTTCAGTGCAGCCGGCACCTCCGTGCGTGCACTCGGTACAAGGCTAAATCCACGGAGGCATTCGAGACAAAAAAAATGACTCTGCTTAAGGACACAGGGAACAGGATCTCCTGCAGGGAGTTGTTAACAGAACCGGGGCCTCACAGGTGGAGGGGCCGCTGCAGAGAGGGGTCGTGGGCCAAACCACCGAGGAGAGCAGCCCCCCAGAAGCGTCTTTTTGCGTTCGGGTGCCGGGGAGTTGTCGGTGTGGGAAAATACAGGCCGGGACCGCACGTGGGGTCCCAGGGGGCCTGCGCTGTGCGGAAACACCGCCCTGCAGCCCCGCAGCCCCGCAGTCCCGGGGCTGGGGCCATGTCCAAGGTCTCCAGGAAGCCGAGGAAGACCCGCCCCAGGGCAAGGAGGAAGTCGCAAGGACACCACAGCACAATGAACAAGAGAGGAGCTGCAGGCGAAGAAGCTTACGCTGTTTTTCCCTCCCTTCCAAGGTTGCTGCTTCTTGCTCCATTTCTAGGCCTATCCCTTAGGGGGAAATGCGAGAATCTGGTTTTTCACATGGATCAGAGTAACTTTCCCAACCTACGGCAGCAACATTAAAAGGTGGTTTTCACACTGACTGGCCAGGCGGGCCCAGCAAAGCCTCCTGGGACAGTTCGAAGCCGTCTTCATTCACAAAACACACCAGCAGAGGTGGTCTGCGCCATGGCACTCCGTCGGATCCGCCCTCTCCAACCAGAACCACTCAGTCTGAGATAAAGCACCCACGCCCGGGCAGCCACAGCCCCGGGACCCATGAGAGCCCTGGGGAGACGAGCAGGGAGCCGGTTTTCTGGGTGAGGGTGGGGGAGCCCTGTCCGGATCTGTGTCTTCCCGCTCCCGGCCACGCACCTGGGAAACCAGTCTGCAGCCTTCCCTCCAAGCAGCCCCTCTCCAAGGTAAGGCTGTACATGTGTCCGTGTCCCCGCCCCGCCCGCCCCGCCCCACCAGCCTGAGTCCAGTCCTCTTCCACCAGCCGGCAGCGGCAGGACCAGGGCAGGCCCGGCTGGCGCAGGCCGGGCCCCAAACCCAGCTCTGAACACAGTTCTCTCTCGTCTCCAGGTGAGGAGCCTGCAGGCCCCGAGGCTCTGAGCTCCCAGCTCTCAGGCTCTCAGGCTCTCAGGCTCTCAGGCTCTCATTTTTGGTGGTGCTCTCAGGTCCTCTGCCTTCCCCGACATTCCTTTCCCGGGCCCCGCTGTGACAAGACCCCCAGGGTATCAGCCTTGCCTCCAGACGGCCCTGCGCTACAGCACTCAGGCCCGGGACCCCCAGAGAAAAGCCCAGCCCGCTGCTGCTGACCGTCCTGGGGAAAGAGAAACTGGGAACTTGCTGGGGGAAAGGCAGCTAAGGACCATCGCAGCAGAATCGAGATATATAACTGCGACACGGCGACCACAACATGGAATTGCAGAGGCCCAGCGCTCCCCACATTGAAAAATGACAAAGCAGCCCTGAGTTGGTGTCGCTCAGCGGGCCGAGCGTCCTCCCACAAAGCACGAAGTCACGGGTTCCACTCCCGGGTCCTGGGCCAGGACCCCAGCTGGGGGCGTGGAAGAGGCAGCTGACCCATGTCTGTCTCCCACACTGGAGCGTCTCTCTTCTTTCTCCCCCCACTTTCCCTCTCTCTAAAAATAAAATCCTTTTTAAAAAGCATAAAACAACCTGAAGCAACAACAAAGTACTTCTCAACGCCAAAAAAAGTACGACAGGCTTTGAAACGGGCACGAGAAGAGACCCTTTCCGGAGAGTTCCTATAATTGTCATCCTTGAGAAACAGGGACAGCCGAGTTGGCTACACCCCCCCCCAGTAATGGCTCACGGACTCCCCTCTGCTTGAGTTTACCAACCCAGGTGACAGCAGAGAATGGGTGACGACTGGGGAGGACAAGGAGAGCGGGGTTCTAGGGCCTCTTCCCACCCCTGACCCACGCAGGGGTTTCCGCTCCTGAACGCCACCCTCCTCTGCCCGCTCCAGCCTCCTCCCGGCTCCCCCCGCCCACCCCCCAGGGCTGGTCCGAAGGTTAACCTCCGCACCCAGTGCCGCAGCAGGCCCCACGCCAGGCGCTGCAAACACAGCCTGAACAAACGGGGAAAAGAAGGCCCCGCGAACAGGAACGCGCGTGGAAAGCACAGTTCTGAAAAAGACGTCCAGCTTCCTGAAACAGCGGGCATCCTGCTTTGGCTTTGAATTACTTGGAATGGTGCCACTAGTAAAGCATACGGGGGAAACGGTATTTTTAAAAAATGCACTGGACCGGGGCAAACGCGGCAGAAAGTTCGGGGACCTCAAGCAGGCAGTTCCCAGGCCTTGGAAGCCCAGAACCACATCAACTTAATCAATAAGGAAGTCCCCCCCCACCCCCTCCCGCGCCGGCTGCCGCGTCTGCACCAAGCCCAACAGACCTGGAGGGAAAACGTGGAACCTAAAGACAGGGGCCACGGCGGAGTCGGCCCCGGGGGAGGGGGGGGGGACCTCGTGCTGGCTTCTCGTGCCACCAGCAGCCTTGCTCCCGGCGCGCCACCCTGGACGCGCCAGCACTCCCCGAGGCCGGCACAGGGTGGCCCAACCCTGGCCGGGCCCCCAGGAGGAGCCCGGCTCGGGACCAGGCTGGAGGTGGCTGAACGGCAGGGGTAAACAGTGGCCACCTCTCAAAGCAGAGAAAGAAACAGCTGGCAGGTCTCACCCTTGTCCACCTGCGGAAATGGCCCGGGTACTCGAGGAGAGCTTTTCCCTAGTGCCCCCCCCCCCGCGGGTAACACAAAGACGGCAGACTCCGCGGGAGCCCGACACCCGCAGGAGGACCCCTTTCCCAGGGTGCCAGCGCGTGGCCCCAGGCGCCCGAGGGCGTGGAGGTAGTGCAACTTTCTCAAGGAAGCCGCCCACGTTTCCTCTGTGACCACGAAACGCAAAGCCCCGGCCATTCTCAGCTCGCTGATGTCACCGCACCTCTGTGGCCCTCAGGGTTTCACCCGGAGAGCCCCGCGATCCCCCGCCCAAACAGGTTTCCGCCTTCCCCGGGACGCGCACCGTGCGCTCTCCCAGCCTCCAGTCCGGTCCGGCTCGCTCCGCCCTCGGCACCCGGCTGCGTCGCTGGGCGCGCAGCCACGCGAGCCCGGAGGAGGGAGGCGTGGAGGACCCGTTGGGGACCCGGCTCCGAGCCCGGTCCCCAACAGGGAGCTGACTTGTAAAACAATGAGCATCCGCCTCCTCTGCCCCTCCCCCACAGGACCCCGGCCACGAGATACCGGCGCTGGTGCGGGGGGCGGGGGGGCTGCGCTGGGTAGCCGGCACCCCGGACCCGCGATGGCCCGAGCGCCCGCCCGCCGTGCCCGCCGCGCCCCGAGTCCGCGCTGGAGACCCCGCGCTGGAGCGCGGCCAGCAGCGAGGCGCACGGGCCACGCGGTGGCTGCAGCAGCTGACACGGCCCGCAGCCGCGGGCCACACGCACCGCGCTGGCCGGGCAGGGAGGGAGAGAGCGCGGCCCGCCGTACCTTCCCGCTGGCCGTGCCCCCGCTGACGCCGATGAGGAAGGGCCCGCCGTCGTAGGGCTGCTGCTGGGTCTGAGGGGTCGGCTCGCTGTCGCCGGCCATGGCTCGCTCCGCTCCTCCTCCGCGGCCTGTGCGCGCGGACGCTGGCGCCCTCGCTTCCTGCTCCCCGCCTGCCGCGCCCCGCTCGCTGGGCTCCGCCGCCGCCGGCCCCCGGGAAGCCACTGTCGCCGCCAGCCGCTGGGAGCCGGTGTGCGCTGCGGTCCCGGAGGAGCGAGCGTCTGCCTCTGCGCGCCGCGGCGGCCCGCTTACATCCTCGGCGGCGGGCGGCGTGACGCTGCTGCTCCAATCGGGCGGGCCACGCGCTGCAATTCGCCAGGCGGCGGCGGCGGCGGCGGCGGGCGTCTGGCCCAGCCCCCGCCCGCAGTCCGAGGAAGGGAGGGTGCGGACGACCCCTCCCCCTCCCGGGCGGTTAAGCCTGCCCCACGACCTTGGGCGGGCCACGCTTCAACTAGGTGTACCACCACTTTTTTTTTTTTTTTCAAAAGGGATAAAACGCTGGAAGGGAGGATCCCATCGCGGAGGGGCATGCCCAGGGTTAAGGAGCAAAATTAGAACCCGCGTGGGAGAGTGGGATGAAACAAAGAGTTAATGCGTTCACCTGCTGTGCAGGCTAAAAACGTGTTTTCCAAAAATGAGAATTTTTCCCCTCCCGTTGGCCAAAAGAATGTCAGCCCCTGGCCTGAAACACCCCCCCCCCCCACTTGGAACCCCCAGACACCATCCCCCTTAGCAGGCGACCCGGGGGAGCAGGGTTATCTGAGGGCGCCTCCCTCCCAACGTCAGCGCCCTTTCTAACCGCAGTTGGAAATCCGGAATGCCGAGGTGCGCGCGGACTCAGGGTTTGTGAGGACAGGCACGGAATGCTTAATGCCACGTTGAATGGCTTCGATTGAGCTGGTTTTCCAGAGACGGGCCTATCGGGTTAGAAAGGCAGCCTCTGCCGTGGACTCGGAGCCGCCCCCACCGCGGGGGCCCGGGCGGTTCTGCGAGCAAGTTCCGCCGCCTCCCCGGCCTCAGCGTTCTGCTGACCGGGAGTGAGGAGGGCGGGTACAGGGTGGGCTTGCTGGGAGCTGTACGTGAATTGTTGGGTCGGAAGTTCTCAGAGTGGTACCTGGGCTCCAGACTGTGTGTGGGCGTTCCAGGAGAAAGGGGCCCAAACTGGACAGGGGACTGTCGTTGGCACCCGGGGCACAGACGTGTCTGTCACTTCCAGCCCCTGTCCCTGTGAACTGCCCCCCCCACCGGGACTCAGGAGCTGGTGGGGGTCCCGCGGTCTAAGAGAGGAGGTAAGGCAATAGCATCCTCTTTTAAAACTTACTAAACTAACTTAGGTTCAAGAAACGTGTTGGGGGAAAAATGATCAAGGAAAATTAAGAGTATTAGGAAACAGCAATGTTCCTTTCACGTTGGAAGTTAGCTGGAAGGAGACGCCCCCCCCCCGAGGGCTGTGGGTGGGGGGCTTGGCTCCTCTCCCGGTCCTCCTCCCCCAACCGAGGACCCCCGACCGCCCTCACAGACGTCTGCAGAGAGGCGCGGGCAGCCCAGATCCCCGGGGGTGGGAATTTGGAACGGACACACCCGCAGCTAAGGGGATAAACGTGTTGAGTAGCTGAGAGGAAGAGAGGGAGATGCGCTGGTGCCCCACCCTCCAGGAGCTTCTCCCAAGTCCCGCGCCCCCACCTTCCTCCTCATTCCCAACACGCCCCCCCCCCCCCCGCACCCGCCTGCAGTGCATTTTATCAGAACATTTCCAGACACGGAGCTGGGAGGTTTTGCAGTAAACACCACCTGGAGGCTGAGGTTCACATTGTACCTTCCTGCTTCTAACTAGTCCTCTGCCCCTCCCTCCAGCGTCACATTTTGTTACGGTGCTTGTTTCAGCCTTGTCTTTGTCAGTTTCAAGTGGCTTCCTCTGAATGGGTTGATAGAGCTCTCACTTGGTTTGTTGTTTTAATTGCTACCTGCCCAGCACCCAGCACTGTTTCTGGCACAGAGTAGGGCCCTAAGGAGTATCTGCTGAATGAAGAGACATCGGGGGTCACTGGAACATTCCTAAGGAGCAAGTGACTGCTGTAGGGGAGGTAACCAAGTCCCCACAAGGACCCCCTCTTCCACCACCGTGGAAGGAAAGGCCGTGTCCCCTAGTCGGTATTCTTGTGGTTACCCCTCGGGGCTGCGAACGCCTCGTTTCCCTGGCATTCTCAGTAACAGTCTGCATCTAATCCGAGGGTGTGTCTGCTCACTAGCTGAACCAACTCATTAACTGAGCTAACTCATTACACGTCTCTGCGCTGTTTAATAATAAATATTTGACCTCACCCTGGCTGGTGTAGCTCAGTGGATTGAGCGCGGGCTGGGAACCAAAGTGTCCCAGGTTCAATTCCCAGCCAGGTTACATGCCTGGGTTGCAGGCCATAACCCCCAGCAACTGCACATTGATGTTTCTCTCTCTCTCTCTCTCTCTCTCTCTCTCTCTCTCTCCCCCTCCCTCCCTTCCCTCTCTAAAAAAAAAAATAAATAAATAAAATCTTTAAAAATAAATAAATAAATATTTGACCTCTGTGCATGTGTTAATACACGTCGAACCAAAGCTGTCGGGTAAAGGAAGGCCTGATGGGCGGGGGACTGCCAGCGTTCGCGGTGTGGCATTTCTGCTCTCTCCTGTCCCCAGGGCTCACTCCCCCACACGCCAGGTGCTGTGTCCATGCAGACGCGCTGAGGGTCCTCCCAGCTCTGGTGGCCCCCACGGGGACTGGCGCGTCTTCGAGCTCTACAAAGCGAGGCAGGCAGCCTGCAGTTCCCTGCGCCGTGTCATCCTCTCCGGGGAGTCAGGTCCCCGAATCCCAGGGCCCGGGATGCTCAAGTCACGTCTGAGCCTGCGGCGGCGGTGACACTGCGGATTCTGGATTCAGTGTGTTTTGGGGTTTTGGTTTTTTTTTGGCTGTCCTCCTTCTCCCCCCACTAAAACAAAACAAAACATACACTGACAAAAAAAACCCCACAAAAACAAAGGTTTTCAATAGAACGCAGAGTTAGAACAGATTCAAGGACGTATATTCTCTGGATACCTGTGGTCACTCTTGATTCGGCCTCATCAAGCTCTGGCCTGGGTCGCAGCTAGGGATGAAGTCAGCTCGAAAGGGCAGCTGTGGCTGTGGCTGCGGCAGAAGGACAGACGCTGCCGGCCAGTCCCCCGCCCGCCGGCCCACCCGCCCGCCGGCCTTCTCTCCCTGAGCCGCAGAACCTTCCCTTCTGCCTCCAGCCTGGGAGTCCTTCCCGTAGGGGCGCCACGCCTAACTCTTGAATTTCCGAGCACATTTCCCAGCAGAAGACACGTCCCTCCACTTCAGCACATCTCCAAAGCATTCTCGGTTCTCTGGATTGCCTAGCGAAGTTCTGCCACTTCTTTAAAACTTATGTTTCCGTTACAGTGGAAGTTCAGCGTCGTGTCGTGTTAGTCAGGTGCAGAGCATTGTGGGCCTGCGATCACGCGCTTCACAAAGACGCCACGTGGTGTCTTCCACCCACCGGCCCCTGCGGTGACAGACCCTGAAGGGGCAGCTCAGGGAAGGCGGTCAGAGGCTCTTAAGGCCCCTTCACACCAGCTCACTGGGGTCTCCATCAGTCGCATTCGCAGACGCAGCAGCGCCCACAGCTCAGCCACAGGCCACAGCAGCGTGGGGGATGCAGGTCTGTGGGCTCCACCCCAGAACCCGCGCGTGGGACCCCAAGGGAGGCCGGCAGTCTGGGGCCCAGGCGAGGTGCAGAGCTACTGTCCTGGTGATGAGAAGACCACAGGAGCTCGGGCCAGAAAAGCAAGGTCCGCAGTTCTGCATCGCTACCGACTCTGTGACCTTTGGTGAGTCTCTGAATTTCTATATGCCTCCGTGTCTTCGGCTTTTAAGTAACACCTGCCCCTGGCTTGTGGGGTGGTCATGAAACTAATGATTACACATTGCCACAGAGTAGCTGTTAAATGAACATCATTTCTCTTTCCCTTCTGTTTCCACCCCAGCTCTCTGACTCATACAGGAGCCCCACCAAGGAGGGGTTAGGAGTCCCAAAGATCAGGTCTTCTTCCTTATCCCCAAGGGCACAATAAAGTGAAAATTAAAAGCTCTGGCTGGGCAGGTCAGTTGGTTACAGCATCGTCCTGATGCACCGTGGTTGCGGGTTCGATCCCTGGTCAGGGCACATACAAGAATCAACCAATGAATGCATCAGTCAGTGGAACAACAAATCCATGTTTCTCCCTTTCTCTCTCAAATCAATAAATGAAAGAATTTAAATGAAAAGGTAATGTCCACAGTCCATAGCCAGGAAGTTCCCTTCACAATCAAACCCACTCCCTTTCCATCTTGGAAGCAACCAGATTTCCGACGCTTCTGGAAGGTCAGGTCGCACACAGAGACGCGTGCACGACACACACATGCGTGAGGTCACGGGGGTGCCGGCTGCCCTGACACGGGGTCATTCGCAGCGCAGACCGGGACCGTGTGGTCAGGATGCACACGTTAACTATCTTACCTGCGCTCTTTGTCCCTCGCACCTCCATAAAGCAACAGTGCTTAAAAATAAATAAATAAAACACCATTCACAAACGACCCTTTGGCACAAGATGGCAAACCTGGGCTGGCAGGTCCTCGGCCCAGCCCGACAGCCGGGACGCCCCGGGAGCAGGAAGGACATCGGTGGTGCCAGAACTTAATACGGTCCCTGTGGCAAACCGCCGGGCAGAGGAGAGCGGCTTGGCGGTCCCCACAGGGGCAGAGACGGTGGGCTGAACGCGCCGGAGGCCAGCGCCCTGGAAATGGGCATTTTCAGTGGGGACGGAGGTGCTTTTTCTTCTCCCTCACAGTGGCACCTCGAGGCGGCCCCCTGAAAGCGGGTCTGCACGTGTGATTCCATCCAGTGAGGCCACAGCCCCGTCTGTGCACGGGCTGCACAGCTTCGCATCCCCACCGGCAACCTCCGGGGGAGCGGGTCCGCCGGTCCCCAGCCGCACTGGCCGCGCGTGGGGTCCAAGTCCCGGATTTCTGACAAGGTCACTGTCCCCGTGAAGGGACGGCTGGGAAGCGTCCTCAGTGGGGCCTTAACCCGGCGTTCTCTCAGTGTGGGGGGCGGGGTGGGGGCAAGGTCATCTTTTCATCGGTCCAAGGTACTATTTTGGGGGAACCCCCTAGTGGGGATCTCTGCCCATTGTCTTGTGGTGGTTTCGGTCTCGTCATTTTTTTTTTTATAGCCATCAGCTTTGGTCTGTCGCACACGCTGCAAGTACTTCGTCATTTGTC